ACAGAGCCTTGAGGAACTCCACACGTGATATTGCACAGGTCAGATCTTACACCATTTATTTGTACAAACTGTTTCCTATCTTTTAAATAGCTAGATACCCAGTGTAATGCTGGTCCTCTTATACCATATTTATTTAATTTTTCAAGGAGAATACTGTGGTCAATAGTATCGAATGCTTTTTTTTTTAATCAATAAAAATACTAACACAATATTGTTTTTGATCGACATCATAAAGTGATCATAAAGTGCTGCTACAACTGTTTTGCTGAAGTGTTGACGTAATGTCGTAGCTCAATAACTTTAAAGTTGGCACATCAACAACAGAATACGGACGTAGATCCAGAGCTTTACAAACTCCTACAGCTTGTGTTATTGCTTTGGACCGATCTGAATTACTTGATAAAGATTGTTTCAATGCTGCTGTTATCAGTCTCTACACCAAGCTGCCATTCTGTAGAAGAGACGTTCACATTCAGATGATGTCGTTTCAAGAGCATTAACAAGTTCGACGTGTTGCTGCTGCAGATCCAATCTTCATGAAACAACGTCGACACAGCTTTGGATTTATTCACTTGTCTTTTAACAAGAAAGACATAATATTCTCAAACAGGAGACCACAACGAGATGCTAGAATGTTAATGCTGCACGTGTTGCAAGATAATAGCACCGTGCTGAAACACGCTTAGGAACTTTAGTTCCACGGCGCATAATCTCTCGTTAATAAAATTTAATGAGTGTAAAAATAACCAAAACGGTACACACGTGGACCGAACCGAACATGCCGTACTGAAACGGTTCAATACACCCGTGTGTACCATTACACCCCTAGTGCTCAAGGTCCCATTTACACCCAAAAATAGCAAAAATATAAAGTATAAAAAGAAACACAGTGTTTCCCCTACCATTATACAAGTGGGGCGCCCCGCCCCATTAACAGAACCGAGCGCCCCATCTACCGAACCCCACCCCCAACCACCTGTCTGCACTGACATAACGCTAAACTAGCGGCTCGCAATGCAGGTGCACTAGCTAAAAAGCTAAAGGCAGCCTTTTCCTTCACGCTGAACCCTCACGCTGAACGCACCCCCGCCACTTGAAAACTGTTGGTACAAACAGCGCACGGCTCAGATGTGCGTCTGTCTCTCCCCCGGATCGACCCAACCCCCCCCCC